GGGGGGGGGGAGTTCCTGTTTGTTTGGAAACGGTCTCACTCCATCACTCCAGCTGTCCTGGAACTTGACTGTGCAGACCAAGCTGGCCTTGAGTGCAGTGACCCTCCCTCCTCCACCTCCCAAGTACCACCATGCCCAATTTAGGCAGCAACTTTAAGTGTTTTTCTCACTTACTCTTCACCTGCTGGCAAACAGGCAGAGCCCCTATCTTTAGCAAACAAGTAGTAGTGACATTAGGTGTCTTGCTCAAGGCAAGGGACGAATAAGCACAGGGACACAAACCACCACTCCGCCCCTGCATGCTGCTAACAGAAAGCAAACCTACTTGGGGCCTGATTTGTTTCCTTCTTGGGCTTCTTCTCCTGCTCCTTCTTGGAAGCTTTCTGGGCATCGTACTCCTTCCTTCGGCGCTCCTTCTCCTCTGCCTTCTCCCGCTTTCGCAACTCGCGCTCCTTTGCTTCCTTAGCTTGCTGCTTGGCCTCCCGCTTCTTCTCTGCCTCTCGCTCCACTTCCAGCCGGCGCTGCCGCTCGCGTTCCTGATCCGCCTGCACGGCCTTCATGTGCTGTAAGACCTTATTCGCACACTGCTTACATTGTTTCTCATCCAAGCAATCTCCTGCCACCTTGGCCAGGACAGGATCCAGGGGATTGTCTTTCAGATCCAGCCACTTCAGATTCTTGAGCTGAGCAAAGCTGACAGGCAGGGTGACCAGCCTGTTGTTGAGGAGATCCAAATGCTGAAGGTTGACCAGGCGGCCAAAGTCTGCAGGCAGCTGCTGCAGCTTGTTCTTGCTGAGGTCCAACTTCACCAGGTGTGTGAGGCCACAGAAATCCGACGGAAGAGTGCTCAGTTTATTGCAGGACAGATCCAATACAGTGGCCTTTGGGAGTGCAGCCAGCTCCTTCACGGGGACCTCATTCAGGTCGCTGAGGCTCAGGTCCAGCTCATTGCCGTCCAGCTTGTCGCGGAGGTTCCCGCCCTTGCCGCCGGCCTTGGTCATGGTGATGCCGGCTAAGCGGGTCCCTGTTGCCGGTTCCGACGGGCAGGGGAGAGGGCTGAGAAGCTGCTCGTGGACTCAGCGGATTCGCACCCAACGGACCACGCCTGCGCCTTGAGCCGCCGCCGCAGCCGCTGCGAGGCCTCCGCTGCCCGTCCGCTCGCTCGCCGCACTCCCAGCCCCGGGCCCTGATCCCACCGGTCCCCTTTATATTCTTGAAGCAGAACAGAACTCGTGAGGCCTCCCTATGCAGACTGTGTTTGGCATTGTGACTGGGGTCCCTGTTGGTGTGACTCTGATGGCTTCCCTGGACTTCATCCTGTTCCTCAGAACGACTGGCTGGTCCTAAGGCTGCTCTCCATATCATCCTCCCTGGATGGCTAAGTCAGGAAAGAAGACACAGTCCGTGGACTGTGCACCTGACTCCCCCATCCTGGACTTCCAAGGATGCTTTCAACCCATACCGCCAGCTCCTCCCTAACCAGCTAGTACCGGTGATGCTTCCTTAATGGCTTCCTCACACAATTTAGGCACAACGAGGGACCCTCTGCTGGCTTCTGTCCTGGTCTGCACACCTGCACACAGCAGACCTGCAGCATCCAGAGGGGAGTCAGTGCTCAGCATCTGGCGTCCCCCAGCATTTCTTTCAATCCATCTATTCAGGAAGGGGTAGCACCCAGCGTCTGAGCGTGGTGCTGGCTGAGGTTACTAGAAGGAGAGGATGTGTCTGGGCAGGCTAGTGGGAGAGCTGCTCACATTAGCAACTTTTGTTAGTTACCTCCAGGAGAGAATTCCCTAGACTGGACCCTGGGGACAAGGAACTGCCTGGAGAACTGTCTCGTCTGTTTCTCCCCTTGGGAACCCTGACCTTCCTGTGAAGTCTCCTAAGCTCGTCAGAACAGTTGGCTTACATTGTGGACCTGCCCGCTGAGATCCAGGTGAAGGAGATGCCTGGGTGACCTATGAACTGCAGCTGTTGTGGCAGTGCACAGCTGGTTCCAACCTCTACGTATCTTGGACAATCAGTGAAGCCTTGTTCCCTGTCAGATCTGACAAGCTCTCCATAGTGACCTAGAGTTGAGTCTGGGACCGAGGTCTGGAGCCAGGCCTTCTTTTCAAGTGATTCCCTCTCTAATAAATACCCTGGTCCCTCAACCAGACCCTGCCTGAACCCTACAGGATCTTTCTGATGCTGTATAGGTGGTGAGATCCTTAAGGGTCTGGACTGAATGAAGGTGGTTTCCCTTCACAGTTACGCTTCCACAGGTCCTCCTCTCGCTAGGATAGATTCTGGTGGGGGTTGTGATCTTTGCAGCTTGTCTCCTACGTGTCCTACACTGTTCTGGAGTATGTGGCACCTGGAAAAAGACCATAGATTCAGTCTAATTGTAATTAAAATATTTATTCGTTAGCTGCCAGTAGGACAACAATTTCTGAATCAAACTTGAGATTGCCATAAGAAGGGGGTGGGGGAAAGATTTGTGAAGGTGAAAAGCAGAGGAAGACCTTAAATATCCACTCAAACAAGCAAAAAGGGGTCCATTCTGTCAAGTTAAGTGGTCAAGGTAATCCAAATCAGTCTTTGGTTGTCTTCTTAAACAAGTTACAGAAGCCAAAAAGTCATTTAGGAATCACAGGCAGATGGTCACATCTGTACGTTCTAGGTGGGGAGGTCACTGTGACAGGCTTACTGGGCACTTATCTTTCAGGAACTCGAGTCGGAGACAAACCGAGAGTGGGAACAAAGATGGATGCCTAGCATAACATGGAGTTTCTTTAGCCATCACAGCACTAAGTGCTCAAATCCTAACACGGGAGCACAATACAAGGAAGAATTGGAACGTCACAGGTGTTTCTTGGTCAGTGTTTGGTGGTTAGGTGTAGTGTGTCTTCCTGGATGGTGTTGTGGAACAGCAAGGCCTTATGGAAGATTGTTTCTCTCCCACTGCGTGCAGGTCCTGGCTTACTTGAATGAATGCAGTGAGAGAGAGGTCTGTAATGTGAAACTAACAGTGAAAATGTGTTCATTGTGGCAGTTTTAATGTAATTGGCCCCTATGCGCTCAAAGGGAATTATTATTAGGAGGTTTGTTGGAGTAGGTGTGGCCTTGTTGGAAGAAGTGTGTTATAGCACGAACTGAAACAGAGACCATGGAGGATCACTGCTTACTGGCTTGTTCAACCTGCCTTTTTAAATCAATCAATCTATCTATCTATCTATCTATCTATCTATCTATCTATCTATCCATACATATCCAACTGAAGAACACCTGCTCAGGGGTGGCATAGCTCACAGAGGGCTGGGCACTTTCACATCAATTATAAATGAAGAAAGTGGCCCAAGACCTGTCTCCAGGCTGCGGGACTTTCTGCACAGACCATGGCCAGTAGAGTAATGGTCCATGTGAGGCAAGAAGGAAGTCCTGTTCAACAGGACGCTGGAGCCTGTGTTGGCTTGGACCCCAGGCAGATTATTTGAGATGCTTAAGTACAGTACAATTTGGACAAAAAGTAATGAGCACAGCAGGCTTTGAGATTGTGTGTTTTAGGGAAACAGTTTTCTGTGTGTCCCAGTGTCTTCATCTGGAACTCACTGAGATGTGCAACTCATGTCTGAGGTGTGGCAAGGAGGCTCCAGATGCTGTGTGGGCCCTTACAGCTGTCTCTAAGTTTCCCAGAGACCCTTTGAATAGGTAGCTTTTCATTAGAAGTTGATATATCTGTGGAGATGTCACTGTCATTTTGATATGTACTTCCACAGTGATTAATGATATTGAACTTCTTTTTCATGTTTTTTTTTTTTTGTTGCTGCTGCTGTTTTTTTTGTTTTTGTTTGTTTGTTTTGGCTTTTCAAGACAGGGTTTCTCTATATAGCAGCTATGACTGTCCTGGAACTTGGTCTGTAGACCAGGCTGGCCTCGAACTCACAGAGATCTGCCTGCTCCTGCCTCCTGAGTGCTAAAGGTGTGTGTACCACCACTGCTTGGATTTCATGTGTTTGTATCCACCATTTGTATATCTTCTTGGAGGCATGTCTGTTTGAGTCCTTGCACACTTTATTTTAGTTTATTGCTGTCTATTTTTAAAAAAAAAACCTTTATATCTTTTTCTCATTATATCACAAGCTCAATTTCCCTTCCCTCAACTCCTTCCAATCCCTTCCTCCCATCTCCCTTCACCTCCAGATCAACTTCTCCTCTGTTTCCCTTAAAAAATAAAAAGAGCAGGCCTCCCAGGGATAGCCACCAAACATGGCCTAACAAGACACAATAAGACTGGGCACAAATGCTCATGTCATGGCTGGATGTGGCAGCTGCGTAGGAGGAAAGGGTCGCAAGCATAGGCAACAGGGTCACACATTCTCCGTGTTCTCTGTTGGGAGTCCCACAAGAACACCAAACCGCACAGCCATGACATATGCGGAGGACCCTGCTCAGACCCACACAGGGTCCATTTTTTTTCTTATTTCAGTCTCTGTTATCTCTGCTTAGTTGATTCTATGGGCTGTGTTCCCATGGTGTCCTACAATTCTCTCTCCCCCTCTGCCTAGTATTTGGCTGTGGGTCTTTGAAATTGCTGGATGCCACTCCTCTGATGACAACTGGCCTCTGCCCATTTTAAAATTAGATTTTGTTTTCTTTTTCTTGATGAACTGTTCTGAATCTTCTGCTTTGGTGTCCTTCTCTTTCCTCTATCGTCTAACCCTGAGACTAGATATATTTGTTGTTCCCCAGTGCCCATGTTCCGTTCATATTTTTTGTTAAGCACATTGACATTTACTGAATGATCCCATACTTGGTCTTCCATCCCTAGCTCTCTATATTCTACATAGCCCATTGTGTTAGTAAGGTTTTTTAAGGGAGTTTTGTTTTTTCATTTCATTGTGTTTTGAGACAGGGTCTCACTATGCAGCTTGGTCTGGAACTCACTATGTAGACCAGGCTGGTCTCCAACTCACAGAGATCCTCCTGCTTCTGCCTCCCAAGTTTTGGAACTAAAAGTGTGTACTACTGTGGAGGCCCAAAAGTGTGAGCCTATTTCCACCTTGTCTGAAGGTCAGAGAGTTTGAGGTTGTCAACAACCATAGCTACACATCCTGACCTAGGGTGTGGTTACTTGGTCTTTTTAACATTAAGATGGCCCATACAGGCAGATCCACTCCATCCTCACCAATGGTCAGGAAATTCAAGCACGTGTCTGTTCCTTCTTTGTTAATAGGAGGTTTAACCTTGGGAGTGCCTGCCTTCAGGATACTTGGTCTAGAGTGGGTTCACTGTCTAAACAATGGAATGTTTTTCTCATGGATTATTTGCTTGATGGCTCCAAGTATTGAAGCAAGTAGCTGTTCTAGTTGTTCGTTGTTTCATGTTAAAGCAGTCTTTTGTGTTCTTTCCTCCATTGTATTGGGGAAATACAATACAATGGGGGAAAGAACACAAAAGTGCATGGAAAATTAAACACAGGGTTTTTCAGGATTCACTGGAACTTCCTCCCAAGACTATCCTGCTTTCTCTTTTATTATTTTTACTTGCATCTTTGTCCTCTTTACTATTTTTCTGATCCCCACACCTCTACCCTGATTAGTGGTATTTTTGTTGAAGCTGGTCTCTGACTTGCTACCATGCCTGACTCCACTGACTTTTTAATTAGTTTATTGAGTTTTCCATTTCCAACATCATTTCTGCTTATGTTTTCTTAAACTCTACTTCTGTGTTGTGCATTGACTTCATTATTTTAGTGTTCTTTCAGTCTTTGGCTCCTTTGAGTTGTGTGACCACGATTGTAATGATTCTATTGCTCATTTGGGAGTTCTTCAGGTCGTTTTCAATAGCGACTGCCATTATGGGGTTTGTATTTTTTGGTGGAGAAAGTGTTATTTTGGTTATTCATGTTGCTTTCATTTTCAACTTGGGATTTGTGCATCTGGAATTGGTTTATTGGTTTAGTTGTTTTTCTTTTCTTCTCCTTTTTTTTTTTCTGAGACAGGGTTTCTCTGTCTATCTTTGGTACCTGTCCTGGAATTTGCTGTGTAGACCAGGCTGTCTTTGACCTCATAGACATTTGCCTACCTCTGCCTCCCAAGTGCTGGGATTAAAGGCGGAGATTTTTTTTTGTTGTTGTTGCTTAAGGTGTTCTCCTTTTGGTAGAGGTGTTTACAGTGTTTTGGAGGAGCTGAGTCACAGCAGGTTAGAATGTTGATT